AAGAAAATTAGAAAAAAGAACATTCATTAGTAACACATTAAATTCTTTTAAAACCATTTGAAATTTATCTTTTTGCAGATCTAAATTATTGAGACCACGTCAGATATTACAAAACTAAGAAAACTTTTTTATATCACAAAAAGAAAATTCGACAGTTAAATGCAATTCGGTATTCACCTACACCTTATATTAAAATGTGATGAATAATAAAGTACGGTTATGGAACTGGAAGTATTAAGTCGCGTTAAATTAAAATCAAACAACTTAACATAAATTCGTAAATCTATAGTGATACTAATTAATTTTGATCGCTTTGTCTCAGAGATGTACTAAAAACTAAGACGTAATGCGCCTTACAATTAGGACAATGTGAAAAAGAAGAAGGATGCACTATTTAAATTAGTACCGCAAGCGAAAAAACGGACTATATAAAAAGTAATGCAGTCTTATGAAATATTTTGAACTTTCAGAGTAAAACACTAGTGAGCTGGGATCATTGGGAGCTTTGAGTACACACAAATTCGTGTTTTTAGCATTCACAAGAAGCACTATGTATGTAAAGGACGAACATAGAACTAAATAAGTACAGTTAATTTAATAATTATCATGTATCACTTTTCCATTATCACTGAATTATAAATTTATCAGAAGTCCTTTCATTGAAGGAGGCAATATTGCACAAAAAATAATTTATCCATTCTTTGATTCAATTCTAAAAGTATTATATTAAAACTTGCACATTGATACATGATATTTTACTACAAGTACACGCAGTGCACAAAGATAACGGAATAATGATGTAATTTTTCAACATTATTACGATGCTCTAATGTTACCTGTAGAGATCACGAACGGCTTGATCCTCCCGAGATGGATTTTGACACGTATTTAGCTTATTCTCCAGTGCCTGTGTTGATTAAACAGCTATCATTAATGTATTGTAGTTATACAAATGCGTTGTTGTGATCAGCCCATATATTTATGCTTCACGAGTGCGCAAATAGATATGATCGAACACTACTATTTACATACAGGAAGATTAGCCAGGAAAGTAGGAAATGAAGTGTATGTACAGTAACAAAAGTTTAAACTTCAAAGCAAAAGAATCCAAATAAAGACCTGTATCACAAGAATGCAGAAAATAATTTAACGGTGAGATATCATGGAGGCTTGGTCAGCACTTGGTTGATCTGGGTTGCTGTTGTATACATTGAGTAGGTGTATGAGCCTGGACAGATGGTAAATCGGTAGGTGTAGCGGACACTGTTTTTTTCCCACCCAGACAAGTGCACTTTACCCTCCTACACTCCATGCAGACCCACCTGTCAAGCTACCAAAACACCAGCTACGTCACACTACCAATATCATAAACTAACATACTAGTTTTTGTATAATTTCAACGTATTTTGATCTAGGGTTCGAAAATACTGACAATCCAAAATTGTTTATGCGAATAAACAATTCATGCTAAATGGAACAGTTACCTAGTACCAAAAACATTATTTACGGCAACTGATAAAGTCACATTAAAAACTTCAGGGTATATAAGCCATGCTTCAAGCTATTTCAATGTACATTATTGTGTACTCAACATGTATAAAAAATGTAAGATGTATTTATATAGCAAAAGATACTTACTCCAACTTTCCTCATAAGATCACCAATCATATTCATCGCTAATATTCTTGTGCATGGTGCCAATGGTGGATTCACATTATTATTGTTATTGTTGTTCCCAGTTACACCCCCTACCACTCTGTTTCCAACTAATTGCAAACAGGAGAAGACAAAAATTACTACAGGTATATAATATTAAAACATCGAACTTAGAGAAAATGTTGCTACTGAATGGCACAATACTTTCACAAGAATAAATAAAAAAAATAGTCTACATGCAAGTTGGATGCACAATATATTTTTTTAGAAACTAAAATAAAGAACAAGTTTGTTAAAATAATTTTTATTTCATTGATAACAATATCATATATATATGTTTATATAGATATATGTATATGTATATAAATACACACACACACAAAAAGATAAAATTCATTAAAGCATATAGAAGAATGTTATTGAAGCATAGAAGTCGGATTGAGCAAAAAGTCTTTTTAATAAGTATCAATTATTGATAAACAAATTATGTATCATTAAAAAAAAATTTTATATAGCATACAAAAAATATAATTTACGATTCGGTAATCAAACTTTGCATCCATTTATTGCCTCGCAGTTAAATCGATTTGTTAGAATTAATATATGTATTTCTCGTTGATCCTTCAGTTTGAGAATATTAAAGATCATCTTTTAGATCCAAAGCAAAACATGCGTTTAGTTTTACGAAATGTATTATGTATCTTACTTTTTAGTGGTGAAGTTGTATTACTTGGAGGTATGGATTGTTGTACTATTGGGGTAGATGATATATGAGTTTCCAATTCAACTTGTAGCTTATTACTATCGACATGATTACGAACTCTGTCAGCGGACTTATCATTATCCGGTTGATGCCTTTCTTGGACTTGAATCTCCTGCTTTAAGTCTGTAACAACACCTATTTATTAAGATAACGTTACTCAATATGAACTCAAATCTTATTAGTGATCTGTTCAACCTCTAATTTCGTCCATTAATCTCTGTACTATAACTTTTAGGCCTTCTTTCTCGTCAAGCTCCGATTCCAGCAAAGCATTTTTCTCAATGGCAGAGTTAAGCTTAGCCTCTATTTCCTCTTCTGTTACCCTGTTTATCCTATGTGGAAGAAATAAAAAAATTGTAATACTTGTAATTTAAATGAATTTATTCTTAACATTGAGGTGTAAGCATTTAAATACCTGTGAGCTCTTTCTAAATCGTCATTCTTTTGTTCTAATTCCCTTATATACTTTAATAAATGATCATGTTGTGCTTGCAAATCTTGAGCCTTTCCCTGAAACATTGCACAGTCTGATGTTTGTTGATCTAATCTTGTCCTCAATTGTTCCACCTCGGTGGCAAGTCTAATATTTCGTTGCCGCAATTCTCTGTTAGTTTTTTCTGCTTGCTCCAAAGATGCTTCTAATTCCTTTTCTAATAATTGTGAATTTTCTTGGAACTCTTCCAATTCCCTTTCTATATCTTCTTTTCTATAATCATAGAACATCAACTTGTTATGTTACAAGATCTAATTTCCTCTGTTTTTATAGTCAATCGATAAATCACATAAAAATTAAAATGCATGCTATCAAAAAATCTAGAAATATTAACTTACCTTCTATGTAGTTGATGCGCAAGATCTTTCCAATACTGAACTTCATCGTCCTTGGACACAAATTGTGGAGGATCGATGTCCATCATTTTACAGGTATTTCCAACTTTGTTATTAAAGTTTTAGATTATTGCGTTGGAAGCAATTGACAGCTACAATCTGTTTTGTTTTACCAATGGTACTGGTACATTCTACAAAGGAAATAAATTGATTAATTTGTGAAATACTGTTTAATATGTGAATACATGTACACTAAGCTATTGACGTTCTTGTCGACGAGTACGTCCAATATCGTAATCGGCATGGTGAAAGTTTCATTGCTTTCGTTAACTAAAATCGTAAAAAGGAGAAAAGAAGAGAAGAATAGTATGATTGTCCTGTACAGTTACATATGTAGATATGTATTCCGAAAAGAATCGAAATAACGTCAATCTAACCTACTTCGCAGTAATATACTGATGATACATTGATTGGGAAACAATGAACGTGTCGCGAAGTCGAGAGATGAGTGGAACCGTGGATAACACATCCAGTAAATTAAACAGTGTTGCACATAGTAAGAATGAGATCGAATTCGACTGCAAAATGCCTTTAAAACAGGAGCACTTACTTGGATCGTTGAAGGGTACATGCGACAATTTAACGAAGCGACGAACGGTCCAATGTAAACTCCGCGGCTATCCCTGATCGAACCCGAAACAGAATCGTAGACGTTTATCGGTACGAATGTTGAATGAAACGGTCGAGAGACTCGTGTAAACGCATCAAAATTGAATCGTTATATGACGAATATAAATACGGAAGACCTTGAAAAACACTAGCAGGTGAAACGTAGAGCGAATGTCGCGTGGGACACAAATGTCATTACCGTGGAATTATGAGTCACTGCTCAATTGGGACGGTGAGTTAGAAATAAGAAAAATGAAAAATTTTCTCCCGTGAATACCGCGATTTAACCACAGCAAAAATCAAACTAAAAACCATTCGTTGAATCGGCCATTTGTCTTTCATCGATCGTAAACCGCACCGCCTGTACTCGCGATCGATTTACATTCGGCGTTGCTCTTGATACAACGATTCCGACTGAAAGACCCGCGCCTATTTACCACTTGCAAAATGGCAGATACAATACATATAGCGTATCTCTCTCTCTACTTTCGATCACGATGCTACGGTTACGGCGCAGTTAAGGTGGCGTTTGAGAGCTAACCGGTTACGCGTCTATCGGACATGGTGGACCATGGTGGATGATGGTGGACGCAGTAGCAGTACATTCGCGGGGATACCGTCAATAGTTAAATTCCTTTTTCTTCAATGTCCTACGTTCTACATTATATCTTTGAGTTAAAACGATAAGAATCAAATAGCTACATACATCATTCACCATTTTTTATATCCTTTTTTCTTTCCAAATAAAGTACATGTAATATAGAAAGGCAAAGATAAGTGCTACACAACCTGCGTATCTACACATATGTACTTCCATACTTAAATTACATGTCATCAATATCAAACTTACGCTTTTCCTGTATGCTACTCCTTGTTAACTTGCCGCTTCTCCGTAATTGTTGATCTACAATTGTCATTATTGTGTCTATAAATTATATAAATAATAAATTGTGTCTATCATTATTGTGTATATAAAAGTCTATGATCACATGCTGCAATTTGTCCGGTATCTTCAAAATGATACCGTCTTTTGTATAAATTATAAATCATTATTTATATATCCGTGAATTCATCGTTGTGAAATAGAATATGACTTGTAAAGTATGACAATAAAAATCTCGTAAAGCTGTTGATATAAAGTGTAAATTGATTTATGCGATTTTCCAAAATCTTTCGTCTGTAGTTTTATTAACATTCACATAACCTATTTTCAAGTTTAAAAGACATTGTTATATGCCATAGAAAACAAGTAATATAATAACACAGCTTTAAATTAGGAAAGTTGTACCATGTACACTACTGTTAGGACACGTCGAGGACAAGTCAGACGTGAAAATTTTGTTCCTCTTCCTGCACCATCATGTTTGATAGCGAACCCTGATGCGTTACCTGTTCTTATTGCGCCAGGTATATCTCCTTGTCTTATACATCAAGGGCATGAGATAAACGAGTTCTAATGATTCCTATCCCAATAATGTGTAAGATAAGGATAAATATGTACTGTGTGCGACAAGAATAGAAAGAACGAAGACGCCATCTACAGAGGCGGGTTTGTGGAACTACATAATGCTTGCTATTTTTACAATGTGTAAGACGAAGACACTGATATAGTGTGCTCTTGCAGAAAGATGGAAGTGGCCTCACTCATGCCACCTACATTTTTAGGGACTTCGAATTCTCTGGTAAGATTCGTGAATATGATTACAGTGACTCTGATTAATATTCGAATACCTTTTAAAACGCGATAACTTTTTTAGAAGTATACTAAACGATTTGATTTTTTTTTAGATGATTAGGGACCAGTCTACTAGACCATAATTAGAATGCTTTTTTTAAATTTTGCTATTACATACAATGACAAAAAAAAACTCTGATTTTTAACTTTTTTATCTGAGCCTATAACGAAGATTTAAAAAATGCGTTTTATAAATCTCGGTAACTTATAAGTCTAGTAGACTGATCCCTCTATTATCTAAAAAAAATTCAAGTCGTTTAGTTCGAAAAATGTTATTGCGTTTTAAAAGGTGTCCGAATATTAATCAGAGTCACCGTAGGTATCCAACAATGACAGACGGAGAGAGAAAAGGATAGACTGCGAGTCTCTCTACACACCAGCTCGAGAGAAGATTCATTAATTCTTCACTTTTCGCTAATGAGTTATAAACATTTGCAATTAAGGAATGTAAAGTGGAATTCTAGCTACTTTTACATATAGTTTTTGATCGGGTTTAGTGCGTTTTTAAACAGTTAATAAATTTTGCAAGCTATGTTCCGAGATAACACCAAATAAAAAAAATTTGACAGCATCCTACAAATAATTAATTTCTTGACTTCAGAAACGTCATTTATGATGATTTGTAGTTAAAGAAGCAGGAACGAATCTCTAGCCGTATGCTAGTAATAAATTTAAACACATTTAGTGCGATATTAATAAATTATTAACGATTTTTTCACGGGAGTACTCATCTACTCTATGCCCATAATGTGTAAGAAAAGGACAGATTTATTATGCGACAAGGATAGCAGTGGCTTGATCGTTCCACTAACTTTGCATTTTATGGCTACCCATACTTCACTAGCCGGAGCTGTATAAACAAACCTAGTGACACGTCGCGTTATCCCTGTCCTTGTTGTGCTCCCTTGCTTATGCATTGCAAAGATAGGGAGAATGGGGTTAACTCTTAAAACAAAGTATTGGTATTGGTTTGGTAGATAGGGAGAATTAGTTCAAAAACCTGCCACCGTAGATGGCGCCATCGTTCCTCTCTTTCTATTCTTGTCGCATATTGTCTTTGTCCTTATCTTACACATCACTAGTTTACGCCTACGCATTACCCTCTACATACTTCTATCAACCAAAACTCGCGGGCCGTAAGAATCTTTAGAACTTTCCCCCACTTTTCTATGTGGAAAGGAAAGAGAAAAAGATCGGGAGTAAACAAGAATAATAATTAGAATAATAATTATTTAAATAAAACTAAGAAGTAAACAAAAATAATAATTAGTTACATGCAAGATTAAGTATTATTCAGTAGAGAAATGGATGACGAAGCTGAAACGTATAAATTATGGCGAATAAGAAAGACTGTGATGCAGTTATGTCATGATCGAGGTTATCTCGTTACTCAGGACGAATTGGATCAAACTTTGGAACAATTTAAGGAACAGTTCGGCGATAAACCAAGCGAAAAAAGACCGGCACGCAGTGATTTAATTGTTTTGGTAGCTCACAATGACGATCCTACGGATCAGCTCTTTGTATTCTTTCCAGATGAACCCAAGATTGGAATCAAAACAATTAAAACGTATTGTCAGAGAATGCAGGAAGAGAAGATTCACAGGTAACGTTTTAATTTACTCTGGTAACATGATTTCCATATTATCATTTTCTATCTATATTTTATGCAATTGTTTATCACAAATAGGGCTATTATTGTCGTTCAACAAGGTATGACACCATCCGCGAAACAGTCTTTGGTAGACATGGCTCCGAAATATATATTGGAACAATTCTTGGAATCAGAGTTATTAATTAACATCACAGAACATGAATTAGTACCTGAACACATTGTACTTACACCGGATGAAAAGGAAGAACTACTTACTAGGTACAAGTTGAAAGAAAATCAGCTGATGCGTATACAAGCTGGTGATCCTGTTGCTCGTTATTTTGGCTTAAAACGTGGACAAGTTGTAAAAATTATCAGGCCATCCGAAACTGCTGGAAGATACATCTCTTACAGACTTGTATGTTAAATAAACAAGTTTTATATGCAACAACTATGTCATACATGTGTATTGCCTTGAGATGAAAGTACCTATATGTATCATATAATTTCCATAAGTATAATGTAAGACCAACAGATGTACAAAATATATAAAAGCTATTCTGTAAATTAACGAATTACAAACGTATTTATAGGTAGTATTTAATCGTACTGTAATTTATTGAATTGTTACACAATAAATAGTTTTTACTTTGATATCAGAATTGATAGAATCAGAATTAGCAGATACAATTTTGTTCAAACATGTAACTTTATTATATTTGATTATTATACAATTCTTGGTCCAGATACATCATGGTATACTGTTGTCTTAAGACAACTCAATTCCAAATTGATTTAAATAATTTACACAGATTGCGGGGAACATTGCTTACAGTAAGTGAATGTGTACCATGTTTCAATATCTTGCATCGACAATCAATATAAAATATTTAAAAAACTAAAAAATGCAGAACATATCCAACGACTGCTAATGAGATCTATTTAGAAATTATGAAATTAATAGAGAAAGTAATACATTCCGAGTATAAATATTCTTGTCAACACGAATATGCAATACAAGTGGATCTACATGTTTTTAAGTCATTTAAGTCTAAGTTAAAGATTTCCCAAAGTTTTTACAAATTTTAAATGTCTATTCTACGTCCACGTTTCTGATAACATTAACTACAAAA